TGGGTGCTCGCCTATGTCGGCGACCTGCTCGCCTCTAGCAGCAGCACCGCGATGCTGAAGGAGCTGAAGGAGCTGCTGGAGGCCGCCTTTGAGCTGCGCGAGATCAGCCCGGTCGAGAAGTATTTGGGGCTCGAAATCGTGCGCGATCGACCATCGTGGAAGCTGTGGCTGCACCAGCAGTCCTACGTCGACAAGCTGCGTAGGCGCTTCATCAACGAGGAGCAGACCCGTCGGCGTCCGAAGACGCCTGTTTCCGTCGACGCCTACGCCGAGTTGACTTTTGACGACGAGGACTTTCAGTCGCGCGAAGAAGAGGTGCATCGTCAGAAGGTTGGTTCGCTGTAGTTTGCCGCCACTACAACTCGGCCGGACATCGCCTTCGCGTGCAAGAAGTTGGGGTCCGGTTTGACGGTGAGGAGCGACCAGCACTGGCGCGAGGTCGACCGCTGCCTCACCTACTTCGCCGACACGCGCGATTTTGTCAGAGGTCCACTGGAGATCCCCGATTGATCCTAGGGAAGGGTTACAGGCACGTTGGCCTGGGGGGTTATGGGCGCACTCACCCGCTACACAAACAAGCCCCCTTATCCCAGTGGTTAGCGGCTGGAATTCTGACATGGTAACAGAGCGAAGGTCTCGGGTTCGTATCCCAGTGTGTACACCTCGGCCATCCCAGTGCGGGGGGGTGTCAGAGGTCCACTGGAGATCCCTGATTGATCCTAGGGAAGGGTTACAGGCACGTTGGCCTGGGGGGTTATGGGCGCACTCACCTGCTACACAAACAAGCCCTTTTATCCCAGTGGTTAGTGGCTGGGATTCTGACAGATTGAGCTCTGGAGCTCGGTAGCGGACCTGAGTCTCTAAAATTGGTGGGCTATGCGGACGCGGACGCCGCAAGCGACAAGCAGAATCGCAGTAGCACGAACTGCTACGTTTTCGTCTTCAGTGGCGCAGCTGTCTCTTGGACGAGCCAGCGTATCAAGTTTGCGACTCTCTCCTCGATGGAGTCAGAGAACGTGCTGCCATGGAAGCTGGCTAGGAGGCTCGTCGACTTCGCTTCCTCCTCGCCGAGTTCCAGCTCCTCGACACTGGGACGCCTACTACTCTAAACGTGGAGAATTAGTCAGTCATCACGGTCGCTGAGGGCTTGGGGCTGAAGGGCAACCTCAAGCACATGGAGCGACGCTATGCCTGGCTGCAACAGATAGTGAAGCGCGAGAAGATTGCGCTGGATTACATCCCGACATGCGAGCAGCCAGCAGATTTCCTCACGAAGGCACTGCACTTTTCAGCCTTCAACTGGTGCTCCGTCACGATGGGCCAAGTTCGACTTGCCGATGTTGGCGACGATGACGACGTGTAGCAGTAGCCGCCATATCCTCTAACATGGTTGGTGCGGTGATCCGCGTACGAGGGTGTACACGCCGTCGAAATATCCCGTTGTATTCTATTAAGTAGGTTCTAGGTGGACCTTGTGTATGGGGGCCCAAGCATGAGCTGGGCAGGGGAGTGTCGAAGAGAAAAGGCCCCGCCCTCGCTTGGGCGAAGTCGGCCATGTTTTTTGGAGCACAACGGTGTTCATTTCGTGGTCATCGGCGACTTCAAGGACTTTTATCTATTTGCGACAACCTCTAGGACTCTGATCTCTGTGCGACGGGTCGATTTTCGACGATATTAATTTGTCAAGGTCGAAGTGTTGTTTCTGTCAGAATGTTATTATTGTCTAGCCTGTAGTGGGGTGCTCTATAGCGAGTACAACCCAGTTAGGGTTTGCTATATGTACCCCAACTGCTGCTAGTGAAACCCCTCTCCTTTCAATCATTCTTGCCTAGTCTTGTTGACATGCTATCAGAGCAGGTCGACCCCCTTGGGTCGATCCTGTGGGTGGGCCCGCCACCTAACTGCTTCCGCTGCTATTCTGCTTCTCGCACGCCTCGGGCGCGCGCCGTCGTCGTCCTCCTCCCGTCGCCTCGTCGCGGCGGGCGGTTTTCTGCCCGCCGTGCGCCCCGAGGCGCGCGGCGGTTTCCTGCCCGTCGTGGCGCCCCCGGGGACCTGCGCGCTGCCCCCCGTCGTCCTCCTCCCGTCGCCTCGTCGCGGCGCCCTGGGGGCCCGCGCGTCCCCCCCCTCCCGTCGCCTCGTCGCGGCACCTTGGGGGCCCGCGCGCCGCCCCCTCCCGTCGCCTCGTCGCGGCGCCTAGGGGGCCCGCGCGCGGCCCCTCCCGTCGCCCGTCGAGCCGCCCTCGGGGGCCCGTGCGCGGCCCCCCTCCCGTCACCCGCCGTGGCGCCCTCGGGGGGCCCGCGCCCTGCTTCTTCGTGGCGCCCAAGAGCCACCCCGCTGCCTCCCTTTCCCTCCGTGCCCCGCCCCTGCTGTTTCCCGCGCTCCTGCCTGCGTTAGGGTTTGGGGGTGGCGGGCATGGGGGTGACCGGTGTGGGTAACCTGCGGCTCCTCCTCCTCCTCCGTCTCCCACTGCTGCAGCTGCCGCTGAGGGGGGTGGGTGTGTGGGAGCCGAGGGTTTAGGGTTTAAGGGGGGTGCCGTGGAAGTGGAGCTAGGGTGTCAGCAGGGGGTGTGTGAGAGGGGCGTGGGACGGTCGGGGGAGGTTGCGTGGAGGTAGCCGTCGTGACGCCAGCAGCGCCAGTAGTCCGGATGCCCTCGCGCGTTTCAAGACCCAGGTTTTGACTTAGGCATGTGTCCATGATCTTTGTGAAAACTTCGTGACCTTCGTGAAAATCAGGGCAATAATTCGAGCATCTCAGGGCCTGAATTGTTGGTCCCAATGACTTCCACAGCCCTGGCCTGGACCCCAGACTTGGAGTCCACGATGGTTGATTCCGAGTTGACTAGCCTAAACTGGAAACCCTAGCTTCGAATTTGAGAATTTTGCTCAATCCCGCGAAAGCGTGGTTTGATTTATTTTTGCCACGTGGCGAGCTTATGATCGCGTGAACCGCGATCTGTTTTATTGTTATCACAAACTTCAAGAGAAATGTAGTTAAGTTCTGTACTGCGCTGCCCGTGCGCAAAAATAAAACCCCTATTGGTAAGGTATGCGTTAGGGATGCATCAACCCAAAACACCTAGAGGCAAGGTATTTAGGGTTGATGCCTCCCTAACGCATGCCAGGCCCAAATGGGTTTTATTTTTGCCCGCGGGCAGCGCAGTACAGAACTTAACTAATTTTCTGTTGAAGTTTGTGATAACAATAAAACAGATCGCGGTTCACGCGATCTAAGGACGCGTCCCCTGAACGCCGATCCTGCGATCGATTGTCGAAAATCGATCCTCCACCGCACTAAAACTTTGCACATCGCTTTGAATACTTCTAGAAGCTTTTTAAACCACGCAAAAAATCGATCCTTCGTAGGATCGATCCCAAGATCGGCGTTGAGGGGACGCGTCCTAAGGCATGCCAGGTGGCGATGATAAAACGAGCCGCGATTCCGCGGGATTGAGCAAAAATCTCTTCGAATCCTTTCATGGGCCATTTTCAGGTGCGATCCACACTTGCCAGGAAATCTACTCATGTGCGATCCATGTTATTTTGCAAGTACGAACACCCCAGTCAGTTTTTAATTTTACTATCTTAAAACTCATTTTATCCGAGATCCGATTCAAAATTGCTTTAACAGTCGGAATCAGAAGATATTTCGAATCACGCCAAGAAAAATTCGAATGGTCACATCATTTTGGCACAATTTCGACGACTAATTCTGCTTCGCACTAAGAAGTTTTGTAAAGGAGTTTTTATGCCGAATCAACTGTACTGTTGCCACAGGTGACGGATATTGCGCAGGCCATTTCAGCATTCCCTTCTTGGGCGTGCACCCCAAAACACGAGAAACTGTCTGGGTGATAATGAATTTTACCCTAAAAATAACCAGCTGGATTTGTTTTTCGCAGTAAACGACGCTGCCATAAAAAAATATATATTTTTAACCCCTACAAAACCTGGAGCATTTTAGGTTTGATTCTTCCCGAAAATGCTTACTGGGTCTTTATGGTTTCTTTTAATGTAGCGTGGTCTAGTGCGAAAAAAAATCAGCGGGGTATATAGTACGGCAAGGGTTAAATTTAGAATTACCCGGGCACTTTTTTCGTGTTTCGTGGTGCACGCCCATGAAGGGAATGCTGATTTGCCCTGCGCAGCGTCCGTCATGTGTCTCAACAATACAGCTGATCCGGCATAATTGTTCTTTCATGAAATTCTAGTGCGAAGCAGAATTAGTCGTCGAAATTGTGCCAAAATGATGTGACCATTCGAATTTTTCTTGGCGTGATTCGTAATCAATCCTGATTCCGACTGTTTGTGTAATTTTGAATCGGATCTCGGATAAATGAGTTTTTATACGGCAAAATTGAAAACTGACTCGGGTGTTCGTACTTGCAAAATAACATGGATCGCACATGAGTAGCTTTCCCGGCAAGTGTGGATCGCACCTGAAAATGGCCCCTCCTTTCATCCCTCGCTAGATCCCATGTGCTGCCGAACATCGCCTTAGTAGGTTTGATTGAGGTTCGAGGTGGGTAGGAAGTGTTACCATTGGGTTTCGAAAGTGAAGCGTTAGTTCCAAGAGCGATATAATGAATGCACAATTCATTACTGCAGGTCTGCTCCTAGCGAGGACAGCCCGTGGACTTCGCGTCAGTTTCGGCCCGAACCACATTCCGAGTCGCCCCGCACCAATCGCGACATTCCCAAACCATGCACGTCCCGAAGCCCTCGCCTAGCACGGTTCCACCCTATATTTGCTTGTTTTCTTCATAGTTTCTTCATTCTGTAATCACATCCTTTTTATAGAGTCTTCCGCGCACTCATAACACGCGACATGCATGTCACGCCCCTTGCTCATCCCCCGTCCATTCTCGATTCCAGCAGTTCCTGTGAAGCGTCGTCACCTCGCATACACTTTGCCACTTTTCTGTTGTGATGCTAGCGACTCTGCGCTGATATCGACGCCGTGCGATCGGCGCGGGTGGCGGCGCTGCAGTATTGAGTTCCGCCATGCGGAAGGCGGCGGGAAAAGCGCCTCGTTTCCAGGTTGAGGGGAATTTTCCCCCCGCCGCGCCTCGCCAGGTACCGGGGAGCGCGGAAGCAGATGGCGCAGTTGACGCGGATGGCGGGGAGGCTCCGCGACTTGGGCAGGCGGAACACGGCGGAAGGCAAGGTGCTAGCGGCGGGGCTTATGGCGCACCGAATGGCGGAAGAATGTACGGCGATGAGGGCTACGGCGCAACTGGCGGAGGGGGGTATGGCGGGGGCGGCGGGTTTCCGCCTGACGAGATTTACGGAGGGGGAGCTGGCGGGTACGGGGGCGGGGAAGATGGCTGGGGGTACGGCGGAAGGTATGGGGAAAGCTACCGGGGAGGATACGGGGGGACCATGGAGGCTGAGGCCGGGCATGGCGGAGCAATGGGAGCAGAATGGGGAGATGCGGAAGGAAGTGCATGGGGGGCGAGGGGGGAAGGGGGAGTTCATGGGGGCATGGCGGGGGGCGGCGGGGAAGCCGTGGGGGGCGCGGTACGCCGTCAGGGATATGGGGGTAGGGGGCAGGCGCAAGGGGAAGGCGGGGAGGCGGATGAGAAGGGAAAGAAGGGGGGAGGCTGGTGGCGGTTGTTCGGGGGAAGGAAGGGCGGAAGGGAGGAGAAATGCGGGGACGTCGGGGGAGGCGAACAAAGGAGGTGGGAGGAAGGTGCGGGGGAAGGGGGGGAAGCGCAGCAGCAATGGGGTGTTGGGGGGTATAGGGGCTACCCATTAGGCATGAGAGGGGGAGAGGGGGAATGGGGGTATGGCATGTACGGGGGGGAAGGATATGGCACACATGGGGGAGGGGGTGGTGAGGTGTACGGGGCAGCGGGGTATGGGACAGGGGTTTATGGAGAAGGGGGATATGGGGCAAATGGATATGGGGATGGGGGAAATGGGGCATGGGGATATGGGGAAGGTAGATATGGTGAAGGGGAATATGGGGCAGGGGTGTATGAGGCAGGGGGTTATGGCGGTGTTGTGAGGGTAGAGGACGAAATGGGAGGCAACGGGGTGGCAGAGCCGGGTGCTCCTCACGGCCCTGCTGCTGTTGCTGCTGCTGCTGCTGCTGCTGCTGCTGCTGCTGCTGCTGCTGCTGCTGCTGCTGCTGGTACTGGCGGTGGAGCAGAGCAGGCAAGGGGGGCAAGCGCGGGAGATGCAGGGGGGGAAGATGGGGGCGCAGCAGAGGCTGGGCAGGAGAGGCATGGCGGTGCAGGCAGCAGAGGGGCGGGCGGCACGGCTGGAGGTGGGGGCGAGGGCAGGGGGTCGGAGGGCACAGACGCACTGGCAGGGACGGCGAGAGCAGGGGCGGAGACATGGGGAGTGAAGGCGGCAAGGGCGGCAGGGGCAGGCGTGGCAGTGGAGGGCGTGATGACCACGGGGCTGACGACCGCCGGGTTCAAGGTGCGGCTGCGGGGGCGGCCCGTGGTGCATGGCAGGGCGTCGGGGTACGACGATGACGAGGCGTGGAGCCCTGGGGGCGACCGCAGTGGCGCGGCAGGGTGGGGGGTTGAGGAGAGAGCGAGTGTGAAGGGAGGGGACGGGAGTGTGGGGGCGGGGGAAGCAGGGAGTGAGGAAGGGGAGGAGGACGGGGATGGAGGGGAAGCAGGGAGTGGGGAATCGGAGGAAGAGGGGAGTGTGGGTTCAGGAGAAGGAGAGGAGAGCAGCAAAGGGGAGGAGGGTAGCCAAGGGGAGCAGGGCAGCAGAAGGGGAAGCGATGGTTCATCAGAGGGGGAGGCGAGGGAGGGCGAGAGGGCAGGGGAGTCACGGCAGGAGTGGGGGTGTGAAGCCTCGCCAGGCGCGTGGGGGCAGTGCCCCTCTCCCGCGCCTCACCACTATGCCTTTCAGCCCCACCCCGCCTTTCCGCATTCCCAGCACCCCTGGGAGCACCAACACCCCAACGAGCATTGGCAGGTGCAGGGCAGGCAAGCACAGGGGGGGCATACCTCGCCTGGAGCGCATGGGTCGTACCCACATGCGCTCGACCCCTGGCAGCACGACCCCTGGCAGCACGACCCCTGGCAGCAGCATGGCGCACACCCACATGCCGCCCACGCGGTTCATCCTGCTGCGCACCTCCCACTCCCTGCCGCTACTGCTGCTGCTGCTGCTGCTGCCACCACTGCTGTTGCCCCTGCCTCTGCGTCGCACAGCCCCCTCACCGGCAGCCCTGGCCCGCCCCCTCATGCCCTGCTGCCCCACGGCACCGCGACAGGGGCATGGGGAGGGGCAGGTGTTGGGGCATGGGGAGGGGGGGGGAGGAGCAGGGGGGTGGGGATGGGGAGGGGCGGAAGGGGATTTGCTGAGAGGCGTGCATGCTCTGAGAGGAGGGCCGGGGGGAGGCAGGGGAGGGGCGCCTGGTAGTAGAGGGTTGCGGCGGGGGAGACAGGCAGGCGGGGGGAACGAGAAGGATTCAGGGAGTGACAGGGGGGAGGGGGAGGGGAGAGACGGAGCAGGGGAGAGGAAGGGCAGGGGCAGCAGGGCATGCTCGCCGGAGGTAGGAGGCGCAGAGGGGAGGAGGCGGCGTGTGGGCAAGGCAGGGTGGTGGGCGGTGCAGTGGCAGCTGTGGCGGCTGCAACCGCGGCGCTGGCTGCTGCTGCAGGGCGGCCTGGCAGTGCTGGCACTGCTGCTGCTCGCTGCCACTCTCACCTCCCTCACTGCCTCGTGGGCATGGGAAGGGGGCGATGGGGGAGGGGGGGAGCGAGGAGAGGGGGAGGGGGGAGTGAGAGTGCTGGGGGAGGGGAGGACGTGGGGAGGGGCCGGGAGAGGAGAGCAAGGGGTGGCAGTGATGCCAGGGAGACGCAGCTGGGGGAGGGGGAGGGGCGAGAGGGGAAAGGGTTTGCCTCGGGTGGCACTTGGAAGGGCGGGGGAGGTGCGTGCGGTGGGACAGCGAGGCACGGACGTGTATGAAGCGAGCAGTGAGGGCGAGCGGATGGGCGAGTGGGACGAGCAGGTGGGGCTGGAGGTGGATGTGGGCACGGCGGCACCACGCCTCCTGCACACCCATGGCCTGTGAGTCACACCAACACTGTGAGTTATGGATCTGGTCCGGTCTGGTGGATCAAAGGACTGCACAGTTGCTGCGTCCAGCGTGTGCTCCTCCGCTCCGCTCGGCCAGTGCCAAGACGCTGCTCCACTCCATGCCAGTCCTCTCCACTCCATGCCAGTCCTCTCCACTCCATGCCAGTCCTCTCCACTCCATGCCAGTCCTCTCCTCAGCCCTCTCCGCTTTCCCCTCCAGTGACGTATTGTTAGGTGGTCGAACATTACTCTGAAACCTCTGTACCACCCTTGTAGCTTTCCAAGGCCATCCTCTCTCCACCCTTCACTCCAAGCGCTCGTTGTGGGTGCGTGCAGCCACCTTATGTGCACTCAGCATGTTCGCTGGGGCCAGCGAACCTGTTGCGTGCAGCCAGAGTGGCAGCACGCACGTACTGACCCCGAGCACCTTGAGTCAGGGAATGCAGTAAGATGGCGGAGGCCTTGGAAAGTTGGATGGGTGGCACAGAGTTCCAAGGCCGGGCAGGGTCCCACCGGCAGTGACGGTAGCGTCGCACTGGTATAGCACTCCCAGCGATATAAGTCACTTGCACACTTGTGCAAACCTCAAGTACCTATCACACCCATCCAGTGGTTGAGCGGGTCACAATGCTGCGCTCGTGCTGCCCTTCCCTCAGCCAGCGCCCTTCCCTCAGCCAGCGCCCTTCAGCTCGTCCTTGCCTCAAGCTGCTGCTTCATTCACTGGCAGTCTGCTCCCGCCCTCTCCGCCATTCTCTCCTGCCCATGCTCCATTATATGTTTCCTCTCTCGAATACACCCGCCATCTCGCATCCGCTGTGCCTCCTTTCACGCGTCATTCCCACCTTCCCATCCCGCTTCCTACCTGCCCTGCCACCCACATTCCCCTCCTGCCCCAACCTCCTAGCACGGGCGGGGGGAAGGTGAGCGGTCAGGGTGGGGCAACAGCACAGAGGGCATCAGGAGGAGCGGGGCCGCAGTGGTACGTGGCGGTGCACGTCACCCACGCCATGCAGACGTGGCCTCGCCTCGACTTCTCGCTCTCCGATGCCTTCCAGGTGCGCCTTGTGCCTTGCAGATGCGCCGTGTGCCTTGCAGATGTCTTGTCACATCAGCTATCCTCGTGTTGGTAGAGCTCTACTTCCACATCACCTACTTCCACATCACCTACTTCCACATGATCTACTTCCACATGATCTACTTTCAATGTCAACCCATTGCACATGACCGTTGCACATGACCGTTGCACATGACCGTCGCACACATGACCGTTGCACATGACCGTTGCACACATGACCGTTGTGCACATGACTGTTGTGCACATGACCGTTGTGCACATGACCGTTGTGCACATGACCGTTGTGCACATGACCGTTGTGCACATGACCGTTGTGCACATGACCGTTGTGCACATGACCGTTGTGCACGTCCTCCTCTTCCTCATTCCCCTTCAATTCGTGCTCGGCTTCTGCCTCAAATCCATTGCTCCCTTCTTCCTCTCACCACTCGCCCCACCCACTCACCCGCCATCTCCTTTTCTCCCCCCCCCCCCCCTCCCCACCCTCCCCTCTCTCCCCTGCACCCCCCCCACGGTGCCCATAGTGGCTGGAGTTTGCGCGGTACAGCGGAGTGGCGCACGTGTTTTGGTACGACATGGCGGACGACCCCCGGGACCGCATGGTGAGCTCTCAGCCGTGTGGTGGACATGGCATAGGGAGTGGCGGGGAGAGCTGTGTGAGTGGTGGGGAGGGTGGGGAGAGCAGAGTGACTGGTGGGGATGGGGGATGAAGAGTAAGCATGTTGGGAAGGCCCTGTCCACCATTCTCGGCCCCCGTCCCTCGCTAACCCAGACCCCCCACCACTGTGTGCTTTTCCTCCCCACGTGTCGCATCATGAAACATGCTTCCGCAACGTTGTTCTCTCGTGTCGTCGTACTTCCACATTTCCCAGGACACTCCACGCGTCCACCCACACCTGTTTCCCGCCCGACCCCCTTGTCCTCCATCCCTCCTGCCCACCTCTCCTCTCAAAACCCCACCCTTATCAAACCCCCACCCTCCTTCCCCGCTACCCCTCTCACCCCTCTCACCTCTTTCCCCCCGCAACCCCCCACCACCCCTCTCACACCTCAACCCCACTCACCGCGCTCACCCTGTGTGGCAGGAGGCGGCGTTGGAGCGGTACGAGCGGGGCGGCTTCATCACGTACCACCACTTCCCCTCACTCGCACCCTCCCTGCCCGCCCACCACGGGGCCAGCCCCCGCGACCAGGTCCGCTGCCCCCCCTGCACTGCACGCATGTGCCGCTCACCCTCCTCACCCTCCTCACCCTCCTCACCCTCCTCACCCTCCTCACCCTCCTCACCCTCCTCACCCTCCTCACCCTCCTCACCCTCCTCACCCTCCTCACCCTCCTCACCCTCCTCACCCTCCTCACCCTCCTCACCCTCCTCACCCTCCTCACCCTCCTCACCCTCCTCACCCTCCTCACCCTCCTCACCCTCCTCACCCTCCTCACCCTCCTCACCCTCCTCACCCTCCTCACCCTCCTCACCCTCCTCACCCTCCTCACCCTCCTCACCCTCCTCACCCTCCTCACCCTCCTCACCCTCCTCACCCTCCTCACCCTCCTCACCCTCCTCACTAGGGGGGGTTTCCCTGTGCTCCAATGTTTCCTCCCCGTGTCATGCCGGCCTCCTGTGTGACCACAACCACCACTGCCACGCCTTGCCCTCTTTCCGCCACTCTCTCTGCCCCACCCGCCTTCCCTCCCCATCCCTCTTCCCTCTCTACTCCTCTCCCTGCCCCACCCGTCCTCCTGCCCATTGTCGCCCCTCCGCTCCGCTCACACCTGGCACCTCAGTCACGCTCAGAGCACAGCAGCACAGAGTGCCTCATCACCACACCGCATCAATCCATGCCTCCCTGTCCTCTCCGCATCTCGTCCCCTCTATTCATCCCTGCACCACTGCACGGCAGCAGCACCACCTGCCTGCGTGTCTCCGCTGCACCACCTGCCTGCGTGTCTCCGCTGCACCACCTGCGTGCAAACCGCCTTCCACGCCCCTCTCCCCCCACCCCTTCCTCACCATTCCCACCAGGCGCTGCACCACTGCCTCACGCAACACGGCACCTGCACGACAGTGTGCTTGCTGCCGCTCACACCAGCACACCGCTCCATAATGGCAAGGCACCTCAATGCGCAACCCATCCCTCTCCCCCCACCCCTCTCCCTCTCCCCCCTCTCCCCCCCCCTCTCCCCCCACCCCCCCCCCCCCTCCCTCTCTCCCCACCCCTCTCCCTCTCCCCCCACCCCTCTCCCCCCACCCCTCTCCCTCTCTCCCCACCCCTCTCCCTCTCCCCCCACCCCTCTGTCAGATTTGAGCTTTGAAGTGATACATTGGTAATGAGCTCAAAGCTCTTTAAGTACAACCAAAATGAGCAAGGGATGGGTGAGGAGGAAATTGGAGGTAATCTCTAAGGGATCAAGGCAATCCCAAGGCAATCTTCAATTGGCGGGTTGGAGATTGCTTGGTAATCACATTTGGGTTTGGTTGGGACGTAGGTGTACACCCAACCAAACACAAAGTGCAAACTACACTACGGGAGGATATAAACGTACGAGGTGACTTTTGAGTCGACTCAAAAGTCACAAGTACAAAAGTTGAGATTGAGGTCTAGCTCTAACACCCTCTCCCTCTCCCCCCACCCATGTCCCTCTCCCCCATCCCACCCCTGCCTCCATCCCCACCAGGCGTTGCACCACTGCCTCACGCACCACGGCACCTCAGCCGTGTGGCTGCTGCCACTCACCCCGGTGGACTACCTCTCTGTGCCGCCCGACATCAAGCCGGGCTTCGCCGACCGCTTCCTGCGTGCCTACGAGGCCCGCCGCCCATCTGCATCCCAGCTGCTGCTGCAGACCTTTCTCTTTCTCGGCTCCTCCCAGGTACCTCCCCAGGTACCTCCCCAGGTACCTCCCCAGGTACCTCCCCAGGTACCTCCCCAGGTACCTCCCCAGGTACCTCCCCAGGTACCTCCCCAGGTACCTCCCCAGGTACCTCCCCAGGTACCTCCCCAGGTACCTCCCCAGGTACCTCCCCAGGTACCTCCCCAGGTACCTCCCCAGGTACCTCCCCAGGTACCTCCCCAGGTACCTCCCCAGGTACCTCCCCAGGTACCTCCCCAGGTACCTCCCCAGGTACCTCCCCAGGTACCTCCCCAGGTACCTCCCCAGGTACCTCCCCAGGTACCTCCCCAGCTACCTCCCCAGCTACCTCCCCAGGTACCTCCCCAGGTACCTCCCCAGCTACCTCCCCAGGTACCTCCCCAGGTACCTCCCCAGGTACCTCCCCAGGTACCTCCCCAGGTACCTCCCCAGGTACCTCCCCAGGTACCTCCCCAGGTACCTCCCCAGGTACCTCCCCAGGTACCTCCCCAGCTACCTCCCCAGCTACCTCCCCAGCTACCTCCCCAGCTACCTCCCCAGCTACCTCCCCAGCTACCTCCCCAGCTACCTCCCCAGCTACCTCCCCAGCTACCTCCCCAGCTACCTCCCCAGCTACCTCCCCAGCTACCTTACCCCCAGCTACCTCCCCAGCTACCTCCCCAGCTACCTCCCCAGGTGCCTCCCAGGTGCCACCTCAGACCTCTGCCTCTGCTCCTTCTCTCTCCTCTCCTCCTCGCAACTCTCTGCATCCCTCCCCTTCCTTCCTGTCCTTCATGTGCTGCCTCCCGTTCCTTCTTCCTGCTTAGGAGTTTCTAGCTACAGTTTCGTCTCGCTACTCCACCGCACCCAGATGCACATCCCTCTTCTTGCACATCGGCCTTCCAGTCCTCCCATTTCTCGCACCTTTCCTCATCCCCCTCACCCCTGATTTTTTTCCTTCAACACCCCTCTACCCCAAAACCCCCTTTCATCATCCCTCACCCTGCCGTCTCCCCCCACTATCCCATTCCCCCCAATACTTCCCCATCCCGGCCCCCCACCCCACTCAATCCCGCAGAACTCCTCTGCTCTCCTCATCCAGCGCTACAAGCGCCGCACTAACCACTCCGATGGCGTGTCCCTCCAACCTCAGGCTCGGGTCGTGCCTGTATTTCGGCCGAACCTGGTGGCCCGGGTGCTGTGGCGCAACCCGAGCCACCTGCTCATGACAGGTGGCAGCACCATGGCGCTGCCAGCTGGCGCGATGCGGGTGAACCGATTCGCGAGTGCGCTGCAGCAGATGCCAGGCACAGGTGAGAGGGAATGGGTGGTGTGGGTGCACACACAGGTAATAGTTGAAGCATGGATTAGGATGTGCGGGTGGAAAAGAAGCAAGGAGAGCAGGAGGTGGAGGAGAGGGGGGGAAAGGAGGTGGGAAGTGGCTAGCTTGGGTGTAAAGGAAAGCGAGAGATGGTGCTGTTATGATTGGGTGGAAAGCACGTGATTGAGGCAGGAAGTGATGAGGCTAGCACGTCTGGGTGGGAATAGTGGTGGGGAGCAGTGGAAGGGGCAAAAGGTACAACACTGATTCAATTGCCGCTGCATGCTCTCCTAGCATTCTGATGGCATAGTACGTTACGTACGGTCCTTCCAGTTCAGATGGCATTCTGGATACTGTCATATCCCCTCCCATGCTTCACCGTTTCTTGGACTCTTTTTGATTGCTCCGCCTCTATGTTATCATACTCATTGTTGTTCCCTCTCCTTTATGCCACACTGGCCTGCTGCCATTCCGTCATGCTACCATGCTACCATGCTGCCATGTTGCCACAGCAGGCACAGAGCGTGGGACGGACATGGTAGTCGACACGTCACTGCAGCCATTAGTGCCGGAGCTGGCGATGATGCTCGAGAGGAGCCAGCAGGCAGGCAGAATCAAACTCCCAGGTGGCACTCTCGGTGGCTTAAACTGGTTCAGAAGCTGAGGGAGCGATCACGCAAATTGGCATAACAATACGTATAGGATGTGTGTAGCATGATCAATATGCATCCTGTAAGCTAATCAATGTGAACTTGAATAAAGCTGTTGGGCTGAGAAAATAGCCCTTAGGATCTTTTCAAGGCTAGAACTCCTGGTAGGAATGTTGTAATTGTGGAAGCGTCTTAATGAAAATATTGAACCACCTTGCGCTAGCGTGTGAGGGCAAGATAGATTGAATTATAAAAGAGGGTACAAGCTTTTTATAAGATTACGAGGAATATGAAAGGATGCAATAACCGTTTTACTGTTGCTGTTGCGGTTCGATACAGTGTCGACTCGGGCAACTGCTCTGTAACGAGTCAGTTGTATGTTTGTCCTTGTTGTCGCGCTGTATTTGTCAAGTCAAAAGGTCGCTTGACCTCTGACCTTCGAGTAACCTCCGGCTGTTACGTTTTCTGTTTGGTTGACTCGCCGTTGTTGCGCTGTAGTTCGCCTCGTTTACGGCTCGATGTTGCGACACACAAGAAGCGTTGAGTCACTTGTTTCCAACACCCCCCTTCGCTTCTGGAGTGTCGTTGCTGGTGACGTGGCCCTGTCCAGTCAGCAGCATGCAGTATTCGAATTTCTGCTTTCCGAGCTTCTTGGTCAAATAGTCGGCTGCCATCTCGGATGTGGGGCAGTAGGATAGCTCGAGTCTCCCCTTCTCGATCTCGTCTTTTACGAAGAAATATCGCAGGGCGATATGCTTCGTCCGGTTCGCGAACCCATTCTTGTTCGCTATGCGAATTGCTGACTGGTTGTCGCAGAACAAAGAGAAGCTGGGTAACTGGGCCAGCTTCGCTTCTTCCAGCAGTTCGCGAAGGTACAGACCTTCCTTGGTGGCTGAGCAGAGTGCAATGTATTCTGCTTCAGCTGAGGAGAGAGCGATTAATTCTTGTTTGCTCGACTGCCACGAGGTAAGTCCAATTGGCTCGAATCGGTAGATGAAGCCGGTGCGTGAGCGCCTGTTGTCAGTGTCGCCAGCGTGGTCTGCATCCACGTAGCCGATTAACTTAGGCGTCGTGGTTCCGTTTTCGTGGTAGGGTAGGCCGATTGTCGGGGTCCTGACGAGGTAGTGAAGTGCGCGGTCGAGCTCCGCCATGTGCTCTGCTTCAGGTTTCTTGAGGTAGGTGGCGAGCTGGCTTGCAGAGTATGATAGGTCCGGTCGGCAGGTGACGGCTGCGAAGAGCAGACATCCTAGCTTTCGCTGATAGTCGCGTATGCCGGCGGGCTTGAGTGGCGCAGAGGCTTCTTTGGAATTTCCGGCGGTGTAGCGATATGGCGTGGAGATAGCAGTTGGGGTAAGTCCGAAGCGCTTGGCGATGGCGTCGGCGTATTTCGTGGCGCTGAGGTAGATCACGCTTTCTTCTTCCTGTATGTTGAGCCCGAGATACTGCGTTACGGTAGATGAGACGGTGAGTGTGAGGTCCCGCTGTAGCTCCCCTTCGAACCAGGTCGTGATGCCGTCGGTCGAGCCGATGTAGACTAGATCGTCCACGTAGACGATGAGTAGGATGTAGTTGGTGCCTTTTGTGAGCCGGTACATGCCCTGGTCGTGCGGTAGCTGGCGGAATCCGATGCGGATGAGTCGGGCGTGTAGGTACTGCTGCCACAGCCTCGGGGCCTGTTTGATGCCGTACAGGGACTTCAGTAGCTGACACACTTTGTTAGGGCCTGCGTTGGAGCCGTGTGGCTGTTCGACGAAGATCTCAGCATCGACGGGTGCATAGAGAAAGGCGTTGGGGACGTCTATTTGGCGAAGCCTTTCCCGCTTCATGGCGGCGATCGCGAGGAGAATCCGCAATGAGGTGTGCCGGCTGACCGGTGCGAACGTTTCGGTGAAGTCCCGTCCGTGCTCTTGGTCGAATCCACGTACGACCCAGCGCGCTTTGAACTTGTCGATGGTTCTATCAGCTTTGGTTTTCACACGGAAAACCCATTTTCCGTGCCACTCCGATGGGAACGATTTTCCAGGTGTTGCGTTCTTCCAATGCCTTTAACTCCCTGTCCATGGCGTCGCGCCATTTTTCCCTGTGCTCCCCCCCCCAGAGCCTGCTGAACTGTGGCAGGCTCCTTAGGTGGTGCTGCTCCGTGGACCGCGGTGACAAGTCCAAGTATCTGCAGTCCACTCTGTGAGAGTCGGGGGAGATTTGGGTCCTCGGGATAAGCTGCTTCGTCTCTCGCTTCTGGATCAGGTACGAAATTGGGTCCTACGCGTTCTGCTTCGTCGGTGTTGACTTGTGCGGGTGAAACGTAACCATTGTCGGCGAGGTGATAGCATACCTCCGCGTTGATGCTTTCGCGAGGGTTTTCGTCGTCCATGGGAACATTCACCGAGCAGTAGGGTAGAGGCTCGGCTGCTTCCGAGGCTCCGTCCACGTTCTGCTCGTCCCTGTCTGCCTCGTCTGCTGCCGAGGGGAAGGCTCGGTTGCCGTCGAAGCCACCTGTGGGTTCCCGTTCTTCTTCCAGGTTGGCAAGGTACGTTGGGAGGATGAGTCGTTCGTAGAAAATCACGTCACGTGCTGCTACTGTTTCCTTCGAGTGGACGTCGAAAATCTTCCATGCGTTGTAATGTTTTTCGATGCCCAGGTGTACTCCCCACTGTGCTCGTTGGGAGAATCGGCCGGCTCGTGCAGCTGGGGGTCGGTACTGTACCATGCAGCCGAAAACTCGTAACATTTTTGTGCTGCCCAATTTTCCTGTCCACAGCAGATGCGGTGATGCATTGTTCGGGAGTGATGACGACGAAAGCAAGTTGTGCAGCATCACAGCATGGTCCATTGCTTCGGGCCACTGGTGGTTGGGTAGCCGCATGCCACGTAGCAGCTTGCGCATGGTGTTCTGGAGGGTCCTGTTCATCCTTTCTGCCACACCTTGCTGTTGATGGGCGTAGGGATGAGCCTCTTGATACGTCGTTCTGCCAGGTACTGCTTGAATCTTTGTGACTGATATTCCCCTCCCTCGCTGACTAAAAACTCTTTAGCTTCGCTCCTGATTCCCGTTCTGCTGCTGGAAGCCAGGCTATGAAGGCTTCGAAGGCCATGTCGCGGCTCGGAAGATTGAAGTGCCAGACATATCGCGTGGCGGCGTCGATGAGCGTGATAACGTAGCTGTATGTTCCTTGTCCGGGTTCGCAGTTGTACAGAATGTCGCTGTACACCTTCTCCAGTGGTGCGTATGCTGGAGCGCTCGGGTTGTGGTGAGAGACGAATGGCTGATGTGGTAAGTCGGCTTTGGGGCAGGTAAAGCACGTTCCTCGAACTCGTTGAAGTTCTCTGCCATCGTGTAGAAGTAGTGAGTCTTTTTCAAGAACGCCTGCTTGTATCGTGTTGTTCAACGTGGTGTTGCTCTGGTGTCCCAATCTTTTGTGCCAGATGTCTTCGCCAGCACGATGTCCGGGTGAGCATCTGTACAGATCGGAGTTGGAGTAGAAGCTTGCGGTGAAGTTGGCGCTTCTGTCTACTTCGCGCGGAGTGGGAGTCAGTTGTTGCACAGGAGTTGGTGGCGTGTCATCGATGGGTGCTGGTGTCGTCGAAGGACCAACGATTGGTGTTGGTGTTGTTTCTGCTACCGTCGATGTTGTCTCTGCTGCTGCCGTTGTTGTCTCTGCTGCTGCCGATGTTGTCTCTGCTGCTGCCGATGTTGTCTGAATTGTTGCTAATGCACTTGTTCGTTCTGCTTCAGGGATTGTGTTTGAGTACCAGAAGCCGCCAGGACTGAAGTCGGGGTCGAGATCAGGTGGGTGCGTCCAGGAGGTGAAGTTCACGATGGCGTCGCTGTCGGCGGTGCCTTGATCTGGAACAAAGTCGAGGACGAAGACGTTGTTCTTCAACACTGCCTTCCTGATGTACAATCCTCCTTTCCCGTTGTGCAGTCTGAACTCTTGGGTAGTGCTATCTGCTTCAAGTTGAATTCCCTTCGCCATAAGTTGGCTGACGCTCAGTAAGTTGTAGCCGAGTCCTTCTGCAATTAAAACCTTTGACATTTGCAAGATGACGTTAGTTTCTCGCGACTGAAGTTGAACGATTCCTTTTCGTCGTGTGCGCGGGTTCTGATTGTTGGCGACGATGATGACGACTTCGCGCTGCAATTGATGTTCTCGTTGAACGAAGCAACCCGAGGAGCACATGTGCTGTCCGCAGCAGCTGTCCAAGAACCAAGTGTCTTTTTCGGATGGTTCGCTCTGGGCGATCGCTGCGTACGTCGGGTTTGGCTCCAATGACTCGCGGCGGGGAGTCTTTTCGTCGAGTAGCTCTTCTGGTGAGTAGTGTGGTGGTGACTCGATGATACATGAGTCTGTCAATCTCGCCATGCAGCTGACGATGTTTCTTGTTCCTTGTGCAGATTGCGTCGTCAGTGTCGTTGAAGACTGCGTTTGGCCGGTGGGGTGTGCTTGTGTGGAGGCCACCTGACTGCTTGAAGGTCGAAGTTGTCGTTGTGGCAGCGTTGACTGCTGCAGGCTTGGACAATGAGTGCGAGGATGTCCTGACGTCTTGCAGAGATGGCAGAACGGTGGTACGTGCCGTTGTTGTTGATACTTATTTTGCCGGTTGTTGTTGTTGTAGCGTCGTTGAGTGTGAAAAGCAAACTCAGGTACTGACGTTTTTCTCTTGTGACGTTCTTCGTGCATGTCTATGTCCTGCTGTTCAGCGTGGATTTCGGCGCAGAGTGCTGCTTCGGAGATTTTCCTGTGAGCTCGAAGAGTGGCTCGAGTGGAGCGCCAATGAGGCCCGAGACCAGTGATGACGACTGTGACGAAGGCTTCTTCGGATATCGATCCTCCGCATCGAAGGAGTCCGCGACAACGACTGATACACGCCATCCCCTTTTCGCCGGGTTTCATTTCCACTGTTGTCAGTTGTGCCATTAACCGACTCTGATTGACACTGTCTGTGGCTGTACGCGAGCTCGGCGGAGTTGACATATCCCCGATAAGACTGGATGTTCTGCTGCTCGTTCGGCGTT